AGCAGCCTGTCACCGTTCGCATTCGCTAAACAAATGCCATGCGGACCGATAACATCTATCCACACCGATGCATCACGCCCAACGCGCGCGTTGAAATCACCCTGCAGAAATAGTCAGTCGCTCCTCGGCACAGACCGTATCACGGAGGATAGCTGAGTGTAGAATTGATCACACGTGTCATCAGGATAACACATAGTCGGACCTTACATGCGGGGTAAAAGTGGCAAACTTAACTCTTCCGAGTCGTAGGCGAACAGCCATCAGTCACGCGCTGATTCCATGGAGGCGATCGGATATTGTGAATCCGACCCCATGTTCACGTGGAGCTGAGGTAGCGTTGCCCACCCAATACGCATTGCCGGTAACAGATTCATGCAACTTACCGTCCTCAGCGAGCGGGGTCTCGCTAAGCGCCGCAACATCAATAATGTAGCGCGCCAGTTCCAATGCGACCAATGCAGTGCGTCGCTCAGGACGGTCACTTTAGTCCCGGTCCAGTAGTGTGTGCACATTTCAGCACCCGATGCTGAGTGCCTTGCGCGCAGGCATACGATTGCATCGGTGGGCAACCGCACGCGAGGTGATGGTTGTGCTTCGGAAGTTTCCTTGAGGGACTCCGCCCGGAGCCTTTGGCTCAATAGCCTGACTCACAAGGCAGTGGGGAGCAGATCCAGCTCAGGAATAAGATTGCAGAAACAGACTGGAATCTGCTTGAGGTCCGAACGCACCCGCAACCACGGTCAGATGCAGGAGGGTTTTGGCGAGTTTGCACCAATTTGACCAGGGACTGCCTGGTTTGAGGAGAGCAAAAGCAAAGCATTGTGCACCCGGAGGTGCCCTCACAAAATCAGAGAGAATGTGTGGCGCTCGTGCTCTACGCCAATTGAGCGGTGAGCTTACAACCTGTAGACACGTGCGCTAACATGGCTAGGATTTACGGAAAGAGGGTTAAGGAGCAATTCTTAACCTATGAAAAGAAAGGGGTTTATACTACGATACTGGCAAGGCGCCCAAACCAGACAGGAAAACGAATCGGGTCTGCGGCAAAAACCTACCATTAGATGTACATTCGAAAGGTAGTGGGCCTAGCACATGGTCAAAACATGAGACATTGGCACAACAGTAGCAGCAGTGAGTAGACCATCTGTCAGGATCTAGCCACCACCAGCCTCAGCAAACCAGAAGCTGTCTTATATATACAAACATATATATATATATGTATATATATGTATATATATATATGTGTGTGTGTGTGTGTGGCGGCATCCGGTTTCGTATTTGCTTGTCACTGTGGCCAGCCACAGGACGCCTGCGCCTACAGAGGGACCATGGGTGGCTTGCGCTGCACCACACACAGCTCCAACCACACATCCATATCCAGTGTAAACCCGAAGGAATAAGACCGGGAGGCATGCGGATGGGAACCACGTTTCATCAACGGAGCCGGCCCACACTCCTTCACAGGCAAACACAAGCACGCTGTATTTGGGGAATCAACCGCACACAAGGCGGTGGCTGGACCGTAGTCCGCTCCACACTGAGTGCATGGAACCACCCTTTGATCCTAACACGGCCACAAGGACCCTGCACCCCGTCCCCACCAGCAACGACCAACTGTCTCCTAGAGTCAGTATAGACGAGGTAGTGGGTAGTAGACAGGTAGGCACCTTGTCAACATGCACATCAAGCGCAGCCACACCGGTGATATCAAGCAACAGCCAACCACTTGAGTGAAAGATAACAAAGAAAATAAACCAACTAATGCATAAGGAAACGGTGACCTAAATCTTAAATTAATGAGATATGAAATAAGTTGTTTACAAAGGAATCAGAGATAAATTCACGAGGTCAGAAAGCATATTTTACGGAAATGCCACAAACACGAAAATGTTTTTGAAATTAACTACAATTAGCTTAAGCGACGTGTGCAAGTTTATAGAAGAGAGTACTGGTAGACATTTATATGAGAAAGCAAAGCATTGGGACAAAATTGCAAACCCACCACCTGAAATAAAGAGACTTAGCATACAAGCATGCAGCGTACCTGCAAACACTGCGCCGGTTCTGCCTACGTCCTCTGCAGGACCCGTCATTTTGGTGTTAACAAGACAACAATTCGAAACGTCTAACAGGATAGGCATGAGTATTTGGAGATATATGCTAATGTGTTTGCCGTTATGTAAGAATTCATCTACTATATTCCAAACTGGTTGTAAAAGAAAATGAGTTTCTCATTGTACTACTTATTACGGGATAATAATGCTCGTTAAGCCTTTGCTCAGGACCTCCACATATTGATCACTTTGATTCAGTCCCCTGAGTCGTTACCTTACTGTTGTTGTCGAGATATTGAAAAGGACGCCATATGCAACGCGGTTTCATGGCTGCGACGACGTAAATTTTGTTAATCCTTAAACCAGATGGGCGAAACTGTTGCTGAATATGCTAGATTGGTTGCGTACTTCCATACAGCACTACGCCACAAACGTCTCACTGCCCAAGCGTTGTGAAAGTCGCGCTCTCCAGACAGATCAGTGTTTTGGGACCAGACAAATTTCTTCAGTGACCTGTTTAACGGAGGTCTCGGAAACATCTTTAGACATCAGCTTTCAAATTTACTCACCAATAGCAACAGTCTAGGAGTTGTAACATATCGAATAGCGTGTGGCGCGAACGCCACGAATTATCTTTCATGATACAGGAGCCCCTCTCTCACTCGCTAATTGCTCCCATGTAGGCTACTCAGTTCGGGACCAAGAAATGCAGGCCCGTTGTAGCTCATCTACCTTTGAGTATAGTCCCAGTTGTGACTTTCAAAACGCTTAGGCAGTGAGACGTTTGTGGCGTAGTGCTGTATGGAAGTACGCAACCAATCTAGCATATTCAGCAACAGTTTCGCCCATCTGGTTTAAGGATTAACAAAATTTACGTCGTCGCAGCCATGAAACCACGTTGCATATGGCGTCCTTTTCAATATCTCGACAACAGTAAGGTAACCACTCAGGGGACTGAATCAAAGTGATCAATATATGGAGGTCCTGAGCAAAGGCTTAACGAGCACTATTATCACGTAATAAGTAGTACAATGAGAAACTTATTTTCTTTTACAACCAGTTTGGAATATAGTAGATGAGTTCTTACATAACGGCAAACACATTAGCATATATCTCCAAATACTCATGCCTATCCTGTTAGACGTTTCGAATCGTTGTCTTGTTAACACCAAAATGTTCCGCCATCTTTCTTTGGCTGCTGTTAACCATTAAAATTACTCGTCTCTTTTGGGCTAAATGTTGTGATACGCGTAACAGCTGATCCCAGTGTTTAAAGCATGGAGTGGATCCAAGATATAGGGTGTTATTTAGAGAAGATTAAATATATACAATAACAAACCTTCATTATTCGCGCTCTCGAGTAGACAACGAATAGTGCAGGATAGAGACTCAAAGAACAGTCTGGAAGTGAATAACAGTGTCCCCACAATCTAAGAGGTTGATAAACAAGTGTTGAACGGGTTGGCTAGGAACCAGCAGACAATTAGACAGGTACTCAAACTCCTGATTGCGACGTGTAATGAGGGGGCGCATGTTCCAAAGGATAGGCGTGACGTATGCTTATGTAGAGAAAGATTTCATGTAAAAATAGTCAAGGTCAATTTGTGTGCGCGTATGTGTGAGAGCACATTGTACAACGTAAATGGCGATGCGCGTGAACAATGAGAGACGGGACAAAAATACACATGCACATACACAGACAGAGAACATGCTGTATCGTCAAACGTCTGTGCAATCTTAAAGTGCAGAGATTGTGGGTTAGGGGAATTTCGCACAGTGCAAAACCCCGCTGCATATACATTATTACTTGAACAACCGATCGTTCGGCGACCATTACACACAGTATACCTTCATATGTTCAAGTAATGGAAGTTAAGTTAACAATGACTGTTATGGCCCAAATGGTCGACATACAAATTACAGAGGTGGTCAATACACAGTGGTCTGGTGAACGTTCAGGATATAAAACAAAGTCAAATTAGAGAGGTGTTCAGGATAAGGCGGTCAAATTCAAAGGTTCTACTGGAGTAGGATAACCTGTTTGCATAGCTATCTGTATGAGACACCAGATGTTTTCCAGCAGAGTTTGGACCATTCACTTGCCCCCTTAGTGGATAAGAGTCCGATGACACTTTTTGCGTTTCTCGAGCTGCAAGCTAGGATGTCGAGTTAGCCATCACAAAGTCAGGTATTTCTCTACGTTTAGGCGTAGTGTTCTGGCGTGCAACAACCGTCGAGTGGAATTTAGGCAAGAACACAAGATTGATCGACAATGATGTGTCGTTTCAGTTGGTGACAATGCGAGCGATCCTCGCACAGAATCAGATCACATTTGATGGATTCAGAGTAATGCGAAATGGACATCTATGCAAGACAGCATTGTTGACAGTGTAGCGTGTTAGACACATAGTTGAAGCGAATGACTAATGCTATCAGTATTATGAACATCAGAACCGCAACGAGCTTCTTAAAAGAATCGGACTTGCATTGGCAACGCATGCGCACATTTATGTGACCCGCAACGATCACAATGACCGCGCTCTTGACCGTAGGGAGGAGAGATGATGGTTAACGATCAAGTTGTTTGATCAGTCATCCATATTATATAGTGACATCATCGTCAGCTTATCAGGGATATAAAGCAACCAGATGTGCTAGCTGAAAGCGATACAAAGCGGGAGGCGAAGTGTGGTCAGCGGCTCAGGTTAAACACACAGTTAAGCACGGCACGAGAGAATTCAATCAGAAACAATTGACTGGCAGACACTCGTTACACACTGGGTGATTTAGTGGCCAAATATGACCAACGTCAAACCGACATCACGGTGTGAAATCGAGTGGTCTCCAAGTTCCTTTGACGTGTAGTGGACATATGCTTGCCGCATACGGCAGCAGTGCAATTATAGAACGGGGCATTTTGGGGAAAATGAAAAAAACTGAACTTACCAGTAAGCATGCATGGTGACTGCGCTGGCCAGAATCAAGTTCATTATTGGACCATCCACATACAAGGCAATGGGGTATAGAGGCAACATACCCACAGCAATGACTCTTTCTATGGTCCAATGCACCGACGGGAGCATGCCTTCTTTGTGAATGGCGGGCGCTGAACAGAGAGAAAGTGTACGAGTGATTGTCTTACTTGTGTAGCACGAAGATTAAAAAACTGCGTACGGCATATCGAAGGGATGACTTGGTTCTCCAGGAGAGAAAACAGAAACAGGATGTGTGGACATAGTGATATCAGTTGGTTATATTCTAACAGATAGCATACAACATAGAGGGCAAGGTCATAAATTAAGAGAATCTCCTTCAACACAGCAGTCGCCAAATGTTGGAACCTGGAGATGGTCCGAAAACACCAACAGCATAACATCGAAGAAAAAGAGTAGAGCTTCTGTATCGCGACGCCACCCAACGACGTATAAAGGCTCGCGTACCACCTAGACAATGATGAATCGAGCCTACGGAATACACTAAAACCAATAAAAGCGACGTGGTCCTAACAAAATAGACGCTCAATCAAATGAGAATTGCAAGTAAAGCAGATGCTAGAACATTGGGCACTGGCGTACGTATCTGTCCGACTAGTAAGAAAAAAACATAACGAACAATGGATAACAACTGAATTCGTAGTCTTAAGAAAAGTAGGTGCGGTTAAGCATACAACTTCTTAAACTACGTGCTTGTCATCATCATCATCGTCATCATCATAATCATCATCACCATTCTAAATGTTAGTATAAGATGAGGACCAAATTAGAGATTGTACACAATGCAAGTTAACTAAATGAATACGAAGGAATGATAAAACCGTTTTATAACACCTTAGAAATGAAGTCGTGGTTAGATAAAAGGGACGAAAAGCTATTGAAATTGGTTTCAAGCTAAGTCAACAAATGTCTCAGACTAACTATATTCATGGACGTCGGGATAAAAAACTTGAAGCCAGCTGATGCCGAACTAGAAGGAAGCGAAACCATCGCACTTCATTAAGTCCTCGGTTGGCCCTGCTCCGCCTCCTCTCTCCCTCTCCAACCACACTTTGGCAGCGCAAACAACATGAAGATGGAAATTCAGTGTACAGTCAAGCCTTACACAAGACCAACTCATGGGAGCCCGGTGCATGAAGTAACGTGGGTGAGGGATTCAGTAGCTTCCCTGAAGCACAACTAGAAGGACGAACATACTATATATATATATATATATATATATATATATATATATATATATATATATATATATACATAAATATATGTATACATATATATATATATATATGTATATATATGGCGGGAGAGACTGTGGTGCGCTGAGGCTGGTGGTGGCTAGATCGTCAAAATGGTCTACCCCCTGCTGCTACTGATGTGCCATTTGCTGATGTCCTGGGCGCCTCCTTGTGGCGACTGCTGGGTGGGATTTGGGTTTCGCCCTTCTCCCTGCTAAGATCCAGGACACCCATCCGCATGAGCCTGTGAACTGACCATATGTTAGACCAAGTGTTCATTTAATCGAAGGCTTTGGCTGAGGACCCGAGTCGTTCTCCTGTCAGCTGTAGGCGCCCTGGCAGTATCCTAGTCCATCCTCTTCGGAGGTTAGGAAGTGGTCGATCGCCCACTTCCCGTAAAACCTAGCCATGGAAAAAAACAGGTTCACGGGTTTTTCGCTCACAGCTCGATCGGCGTAGTGGACGAGTGCCACGCATTGTCTCGGACGGTGGGAGGACAGCTCCGGGTGTTCAATGGTTTGCAAATGCCCGCCTCAAGCCAAGCAACCCCTGGTCAAATTGGTGCAAACCCGCCAAAACCCTCCTGCGTCTGGCCGTGGTCGCACGTGCGTACCGTACCACGGTCGCAAAACATATAATAATTGTTCCAGTACCTCAAAGGCTGCGTGTGACGGCCGTCAAGCAGATCCCCATCTGTCTAGGCAATCACATTCCCGAGCTGGATCTGCTCCCCACTGCCGTGTGGGCCAGACTATTGAGCCAAAGACTCCGGGCGGAGTCCCCTCAAGCAAACCTCCAAACAACGCACTGCCTTGTGGGTAAGGCTATTAAACCAAAGGCTCCGGGCGGAGTCGCTCAAGCAAACCTCCGAAGCACAACGACCACCTCGCGTGCGATTGCCAACCAATGCAATCGTATGCCTGCGCGCAAAGCACTCAGCATCGGATGCTGGAACGTGCGCACACTACTGGACCGGGACTCCAGCGAGCGCCCCGAGCGACGCACTGCACTGGTCGCGATGGAACTGGCGCGCTACTTTATTGATGTTGCGGCCTCCAGTGAAACCCGGCTCGCTGAGCAAGGTAAGTTGCATGAAGCAGGCGCTGACTACACATTCTACTGGGTGGGCAACGCCACCTCAGCACCACGTGAACATGGGGTCGGATTCACAATATCCGATCGCATCCATGGCCAGCTGGTGCGTGAACCAACAGGCATCAGCGCGCGACTGATGACTGTTCGCCTACGACTCAGAAGAGGTAAGTTTCCCACTTTTATAAGCACCTACGGTACGACCATGTGTTATCCTGATGACAAGCGTGATCAATTCTACACTCAGCTATCCTCCGTGATACAGTCCGTGCCGAGGAGCGACCGACTATTTCTGCTGGGTGATTACAACGCGCGCGTTGGGCGTGATGCATCGGTGTGAACAGATGTTATCAGTCCGCATGGCATTGGTTCAGCGAATGCGAACAGTGGCAGGCTGCTCTCACGGTGTGCCACTCACGGCCTGACGATCACGAACACTCGGTTTGCATTGAGTGCGAGTGATATAGAAACATGGACGCATCCACCGAGTGATCACGCCCACCTGCCCGACTATGTCCTCGTACGTCAGCGTGATATGCGTGAAGTGCGCATGACACGTGTACTGCGTGGAGCTGAGTGTGGCACTGATCACAAGTTGGTGCGGACCAAACTGTACATATATTTTCGTAAATCAATGTATTGCACTCCCGCCGTGAATCGGCGTAAATTTAACATTCTCTCCCTCGGTACTGTGGCGAAACGTACTGAGCTGGAGAAGGCGATGGCTGCACGCCTGTGTGATGTGGAATGCATAGCCACAGTGGGCGACCTGTGGCACCACATTCGCGACCAGGTGACAGCTGCTGCCGAGGAGACCATCGGGCGCGCAAACTGTAAGCGGCCTGATTGGTTTGATGAGAACAATGCGACGATTGGCGCATTGGTGTCGGAGAAGAATGCAGCATTTGCTGCACATGTTGCAGATCCCAGTGACTTGGGGAAGAAGAGTCAGTTTCGCAAACTTCGACGGCGACTGACCCGAGAGCTCCGTCGCATTAAAAATGCATGGTGGACGGAGAAGGCGAAGCAGATGGAATGCTACGCCGAACGCCGTCACACAAAGGAATTCTTTGACTCCTTGAACGCGGTGTATGGACCGAGATTGGAGCCTCTGAGGACACTGATCGATGGTAGTTCAGGCGCTACGTTCACACAGACTGCAGACATAATGCAGATCTGGCGGAAACACTTTGACTGTCTCTTGAACAACCGTTCAGAGATGGACCGGCCTAAATTGAACGGCCTGAAGCAGCACAATGTGATGGCTAATTTGGCGGATACGCCGACAGTGGATGAGACGCAGAGAGCACTTGCTCAGCTGCGAAGCGGCAAATGTGCCGGAGCCGACGGGATTCCGCCGGAAGTATTGAAACACGGCGGACCCGCGTTGGTGACTGCGCTGCACCTCTTGACGCAACGTATATGGATTGAGGAGGAGGTGCCACCTGAGCTGAAGGATGCCCTTGTGCTACCACTGTACAAGGGCAAAGGGAGCAAGCAATGTTGCACGAATTATCGTGGCATCAACATTGCTGAGTTGTGTGGGCAAGGTGATTGCCCGAATCCTGCTCAACCGCCTCGTCAGTCAGGTTGTGGAACCTAACGTGGCGGAAGAGCAGTGTGGATTCCGTTCGGGTCGCAGCACTATAGATATGGTGTTTGCGGCTCGTCAGTTGCAAGAGAAGTGCAGAGAACGACACCAGCCATTGTACTCGCTTTTTGTTGATTTCACCAAGGCATTTGATACGGTGAACCGCGAGGCATTGTGGCTGGTGTTGGGTAAGTTTGGTTGCCCGCGTAAGTTTGTAAGTTTAATTGAATGTCTGCACAGTGGTATGCGAGCGAGGGTGCAGCTGAGTGGAGAGACCTCGGATGACTTTGCAGTTGTCTCTGGTGTGAAGCAAGGCTGTGTCTTAGCTCCTGCCCTGTTTAATATATATCTTCATGCAATGTTGTCTTGTGCTTTTGATGCGGCTTGTGCTTACGGTGTTCGTGTGGAGCACCGTATTGATGGTGGGTTGCTGAACATCCGTCGTTTCGGTGCGAGAACTCTAGTCTGTGAGACAACTATCCGTATGTTGCTGTTTGATGACGACTGTGCGTTGTTTTCACACAGCGCGGATGAGTTGCAGCACAAGACTAGTGCTCTGGCTTCGACAGCGGCCAAATTCGGGCTCACCATCAACACAAGCAAAACTGTCTGTCTCTTTCAGCCTTCACCGGAGGTGCAATCTTCAATATTGCCGCGAATCAGCATTTGTGCTGAAGCATTGGACACCACCTCCCGATTCAGCTACTTTGGGAGTGTGATGTCGACTGACCAGCAGCTACACGTTGAGTTGCGTATTCGCGTGTCGTAGGCAGCAGTGGCATTCGGGAAGCTTGAGTACCGAGTGTGGAACAACCATCAGCTTACCATTGGCACGAAACTGATGGTGTACAAATCCATGGTACTGTCCGTCCTTCTATACGGCAGTGAAACGTAGACGATGTACCGGCGGGATGTGCGATATCTCGAGCGGTTCCATCAACAGTGTCTGCGACGAATTTTGCGCATCGGTTGGGGCGCCAGAGTTGCAGACACGGAAGTTTTGCGCCGAAGTGGGATGTATGCACTGGACTGCATACTTTTACTGAGACACCTGAGATGGCTCGGTCATGTACGGCGGATGGATTCGATTCGGATAACGAAATAACTCTTACACGGTCAACTGAGTATTGGGAAGCGGAACGCGGGGAAACCAAAGTTACGTTAACAGGACATGATCAAAGTGAGCTTCA